CACACAAACACACACAAACACACAAACACACAAACACACAAACACACAAACACACAAACACACAAACACGCAAACACAAAAACACACAAACACGCAAACACACAAACACACACACACAAACTCACAAACACACAGCACACACAAACACACAAACACACAAGCACACAAGCACACAAACACACAAACACACAAACACACAAACACACAAACACACAAACACACAAGCACACAAGCACACAAGCACACAAGCACACAAGCACACAAGCACACAAGCACACAACCACACAACCACACAACCACACAACCACACAACCACACAACCACACAACCACACAACCACACAACCACACAACCACACAACCACACAACCACACAACCACACAACCACACAACCACACAACCACACAACCACACAACCACACAACCACACAACCACACAACCACACAACCACACAACCACACAACCACACCCACACAACCACACAACCACACAACCACACAACCACACAACCACACAACCACACAACCACACAACCACACAACCACACAACCACACAACCACACCACACACCACACAACCACACAACCACACAACCACACAACCACACAACCACACAACCACACAACCACACAACCACACAACCACACAACCACACAACCACACAACCACACAACCACACAACCACACAACCACACAACCACACAACCACACAACCACACAACCACACAACCACACAACCACACAACCACACAACCACACAACCACACAACCACACAACCACACAACCACACAACCACACAACCACACAACCACACAACCACACAACCACACAAACACCTACACACACACACACACATGTGATATGGCAAAACTCTCGATGCGTGCCAATGGTCATGGTTTCCATAACAGGAACCCTTACAACGGGTGTCTAAAGAGTCGAAAGTCCTTATGCAGGTACTGGGGATCATCCCTGCTTGCTCAACTTTTAGTGGGTTAAATGGAAACTACCACTAAACACTAAAAGCTAAAAAGCTAAGGAACCGGATGGCTGGGAGCCACCAAGAGTAAAAGGCTCTTGTCACCACGGCCGAGAGGCTCTTGATGGCGGAGCCATCCTCGAAGAGATCCCGTCGAACGATCCAGTCGACCAGAGTTACCTCGGTCACCTCACGGGTCTCCTGGGGCTGGATGGCTTGCAGGGAACTCGTGGCAAGGGGTGCAAATCATATGCTTAACGTCCAACATTCCGAAGAAAAGCAGGCCTGAAACCGAGAACACCTGGGTATGGGTCAAAATTAACCCAAGGGACTGCAGGGTTCAGTCGTGTGCCGGGGCAAGCCATTTTTGGGCATCTATTGACCCACAGCTCATGTTTGGAGGAATCTCCTTGAACACCTTTTCAGGTGCATGTTGAGGGTAGCATGTGAGCGAGTGAATCGGGTTGGTGAGAGCGGTTGCAACTGGTTGTTTTTCAAACAAACCTCAAAGGGTAAGCCGTTTTTCGATGTTGACTTTACTCGGGGACCCAGCCCAGACACCGCTCCCAAACACTTCACAAACCTGCCTATGTGACTCTCCGATGGTTTTCCACGCCTTTGGAAGTTCCTACAGGTGGGCTGATGTCAAAAGACATGTCCAAAGCCAGGGCTAAGGAATCCAAATCACGGCAGCTCGAAGCGAAACGGACCAAGTGGGTGTGGAACTCCGAGCAAGCCTATAAACGAGACATTGGACTGTGTCAATACAAGTTGGAACTGCCTTGAAGGTCTCAAACGAGCAATGCCATTCAGTTTGCTTTCCCATGGTGAAGCCAATCAGAAAGCTGGATATTTCAATGCGAACCAATGTGTCAAGGGCTTTGCAGCCCGGAGCTTTCAGTTTTCCGAAACTTCACATCCTCCGACACGGCACGGGTCTACTGGTTTTGAGTCCTGGTGTTTCCACCCGGCCAGGGAAGTCCGCAAGGTTCGAGCCAAAAAAAAGAGCCGATGGGTCGGTCTGTTCGGGGGAACCCTCTTTGGGATTTCAAGGGAAACCAAAAGGAGCCCCCGGAATGGCTTCAGCTCTTTGCACTGTATGCGGATGGGAGATGGAACAAAAATCCGAGGCCCCTAGGAGAGATAGCTAATACGAGCTTGGTCTTGTGGGGTCCTGGGAAGTGATGACCAGCGGACACACCCTCAGTTGAACCTCACGATTCCCCGTCTGCCGTCTGCTGAATAGCAGTTTAGAAGGGAGTGCCATGGCCATCTGTAGAACGTGGCGACCAAACACCAAGAATCTTCCACAACCCGGGAACCCGCGTCTGTAGCTGTGCTTTTCAACCCAATCCTAGTATGTTCGCCATACAATTTAACATGATTTTCAATCGCCCCTGATTAGAATCAAATATTATTCTTCCACCACAAACCTCCCTCCCCTGCGCAAGGAGAGAATTACGTGTCCACGTCTGCCGCCCTTGGATTTGTGTCAATAGGGCACCTCTTGGGAACACGAACAAGTGAACAGTTCCCCAATTTGGACACACAGAAGGAGCCAACAGCAAAACCAGGGTGTTGATCCCCAAAACCAGGGTGTTGATCCCCCCTCCCCAAAAAGAAAATGAACAAGTCCGGCTGATATGCCCAGCCCCGAACCCCGAGAACCCTGCGGAACCCTCCCTGAAAGCAGCCACGGAAACACCCAATTTACCACCACAAACCCTAGTTGACGCCGCACCACTCCCCACCCTTGCTCGACAAACGATGGCTCCTAAGCTCGGTTGCTTTCTACTCCCCTAAATGTGGCTGACTTTTAGTGGTTTAGTTGGCAACAAGTTAAAGTCCTAACATCCCTTGGCAAGATGCACCAAAGTCAGTGTCTACCCCCTCCCCCCCTCCCCCCCCGACTCCTGGAAGTGGAAGCGTGCCACCTCCCCCAGGCGCAGCGTCTTGGCCGCCGCCGCCAGGCCGCTCGCGCTCGGCGAGAGGTCCAGACGCAGAAGGCCTGCGCAGATGCCCCAAACATGGCCATGGGTCAAAAGCCCCGTATTTTGACCGACCCAAAGCGTCAAACCTGCTTGGGGCCCAATCATATGGCTATGGGTCAAAACCCAATCCCAATCTCCACTGAAAAAGACTAAAATGGGTGGTGCACCTACCCGAAAATGGTAGCATTGGTTTTGACCCACAGCCACATGGGAACATGGAGTGCGACCCCTTTTGCCCCCCCCCCCCCCATGCCCAACCAACCTCTGGCACATTTTTGTTAGCCGCTCAAATGAAGGAACCCCCGCAAACCGGCTTTGGTTTCCCTTGACCTCCCTTTGTGCGCAGCCCAAAAAGGGTATCTAAACATATTGCCATAAGGAACCGATGTGGGACCATGAACACCCATACTGCCAATACTCCGAAAATCCGCCCGACTGTCTTTGATAATAATCAGATCTACTGAAACAAGACGCTTGGCCAAAGCAAGCTATTCATGAAACAAACTTTTCCATGAAATACTTGGAACAAGGGCTGCAAAGCGACCCCTGTTTGCCTTGTCCATGGCAGTGGGCGACTTCTGCATTCCCCATGTTCTTGCCAACTGCCTGTGATTTACAAAAAGCTATTTGGAAGTGTGTGGGATGAACAAAAAGGTCGATTGGCTTTGGGCAAACTTGAGAATGGCATGGCAGAGTCGCATTTGCTGTTCGTGGGCTGGAGGATCTCTGCGGATATGGCAATATACAGAAAAAACACACCATTCGTTCAATGGAGAGTTGAGAGCCCGTCCCTCCCTCTCGCCCTGAAAGGAAATCCACGAGCATTTGGAGGGTCCGTGCTAACTTTTAGACAAGCCGTGACTCCAGTTGTTCGATGCAATCAAACTCGGGGAAGATACAAGTGGGGCTTGGGATCAGAAACATGGGCTTGATAAGGCTGATCGCTATTGCTTGAAATCTGAAACGATGTGTGGCGCCGGTTTCTATGAGAGTGAGGCCTACATGAACCTCAACCAGGTTTTTGGTGCTTCGCTGCTTACTCCCCAAAGCACAAATGCAAGCTCATCATTTTTCATCCGGGACGTACCGCTTGTCCACCAAGCACTCGCAACTTTAGAGTCATTGGCATCTTGATTTGGGTATGGGTCAAAATGAAACCACCAGGGGACCGCAGGTTTTAGTCCTTGGTTCCATTTGTCAGGGTTCCCAAAATGGGTGCCTATTGTTGACCCACAGCCATTTGTGCAGAGCGCCGTTCCCCGCCTTCTTCCTCCAAATGCTGAAGTGACTGCGGGCAGGGCCTGGCGCTGGGCGGCTTGGTCCCGGGTCAAAACATTTCTTGGTGGCTTCCCTTTCTCAGTTGCTTTCTGCTCCCCTGCTAAAAGTTTAATTAACTTTCAGTGGTTTAATACGGAAAACCCATTAGTTGGCAAAAAGTTAAACTCTTTTCTCGTCAACAAAGTCGCCCCTCCAAATTTTTGGTCGCGTCAACTGTGCGGCGCCTGCACCGCAGGACTACCGTGTCGCCATCCACTGGGCGCTTTAGCGTGCCTGAGTCGAAACGCGGATTTCTCCACGGCTCTGCAACAGGACGCGTGAGCAACGCCCAAAACCTGTTGGCTTTTGGTTCTTCTTGCGTGACTATGAAGGTATGGAAAGGACTTACAAAGAGTTTCTATCATCTCAGTAAAATCAGTTGTAGAACCACCTACTCAAATTGCCAAACAACTTTTGTGCCGCTTCTCGTGAGTACCCACTGTGAGGATTCATGAATCCGGATGCTGAATTGAAGGGCTGATGTGTACAACGAATTCATTTCAGTGCATCTATAAACCCCCACAAGCACAGCATCGACCCACCCACCCAACTACGAGGCAAACAACAACTTTGCGAAGGGACCTTCCTGGACCTTCTTCATGCTAGGTCGAAGCCCGTCCTTTTCGCCGAATCAACATTTGTTTCAGCACTTAATTTTGACCTTGCTACTTTTGGGGCCTGAAATTGCTCATGTTTCTCCCTTGTCCGGTGAGCTCTGTAGAATTTGATGGAGTGAGATCAAGCTTGTGGCAAGCTACAATACTCCGAGGGCTCATGTGCACCATTCGGGACATCTCCAAGGATGCTTTGGGAAACCCAAAACTGATCGGACCCTCCCTGCAAAAACTGGCAGAAGACCTTGGGCAGAAATCTTGATCCCTGACTCACAAACCCGGTGCTATTCAGCGAGGCCCTTTCGTCTGGATTCCTCTCCAGGGGGAAGGCAGGGAGTTTGTGAAGAGAACGAGGCCGGAGCCACCCCCTTGCTTCCACAACCCGGGGTCTGTGTACAGCCTTGACACGTAAAAATAGGTACCCAAAAAGGAACCCGGGTAAGTGGAACCATGGACTAAAATCTGCGGTCCCCTCGTGGCTTAATTTTGACCCATACCCACATGGGGTTTCATGTGTATGCTCGAAACCGAGCTTCAACACCAATGCAGGGCCCCTTTAATTCCCAATTGCCTCGTGATGGTTGAAGAAGGCAACCCAGATTTCACAACGATTGGGGAGCTACCAGAAAGAATTTAGATGATGCCACTGAACAACTGGAAATTTCCAGATCAAACGCTTGCGCCTGGCTGCTCTGCCGCCGCGAGCCGGGTCTTGCGGATGCCCTGGCTCGAAGCCAGCGGTTTGGTCAAGCCCTGGGGATGCTGAGCCACTGCCCACTCGGGCTGTTGAGGAAACCGCCGTCCACAGAAGTTGAGCATGGGTAGTGGCACTCAGGCTTGGCAAAGGCGGTTTCCTCAAAGTTCCTGAAAGGAAGGGTCTACTTTGGGGTTGGGAAATCAAAGGTTCTCCCTGAGACAAACCCATGCAAAACCTCACTGGAGAAGTGCTACCATGGGACCCATCCCCCACGGCGTGTTGTTTCCGAGGAACGGTCGCTTCCTATGGAGCCCACTAATTGGTCAGGCGGCTACCAAAAAGCTTTCCTTCAGGTTCCATTGCGAGGGGGAATAGGAACGTCTGGTCAAAAACCAGCAAACAAAATAACTTGGCGCCCGAGAAGGTCGGTCTTTGGCTTTTGGCATATCCCCCACACTATTTCAAGGATTGGACTTTCGCATTGTGCCTTTGGGTTTGACCTCACTTGGGCCTATAGTCATGCCAATTCATTTTCCTGCCACCGTTTGCTTTCCGTATGGTTTGCAGCTGTGGATATCGCCAGTATCGCCTTTGGCACATGTTATTTCTGGTAGCCTAAGGGAACCTGGGGATCCTGCAGTTGACTCTGTCGCTTGCCCGAGTTATCCTAACTGGAAATCATGAGATGGCCCCCACGTTTGATACGATCCTCCGAAAAAAGAAAAAAAAAAAACAAAAAAAAAAAAAAAAAAAACGGGAACCACCGAAAAACCCGGGAGCTTTTTGCAACGGCAACAAAAAAAACATTCTCCGCTTTCCGGCTTGGCAACCCGGGAACTTCCCTTCGGCGGCCTTTGGCAGCTCCGGCTCTGGCAGGTCGTGGAAGTCCGACCCACTGTCCTCAGGCTGAGCCCCCTGTGCTAGGAGCGCGCGCCAAGCCAAGTCGCGTTGGGACACCAGAGGTGATGGTCCTTTCCGCCCCTTTCTCCACACACCACTTGAAGATGGTCCAATGTGATTGTTTAGAGGTGAATATTTTGGGACCCCCTGCCGGATGGCTCTTCTGACCGTTCTTGGCAACACCGCAGTCTCTGCATTCTGTAGCTTGCTCACACACCTTGTCTTGACCCCTCAGCTGCGCTTTGCCGCAGCTGTGCTTGTACAAAGAATGGTCCCTGACACTTGACTGCCCTCCTGAGGCTTGAAGTGGTGGCCCCGGTGTTTGTGTGGAACTAGGGAAACTTGGGGTCACTCCCGTGTCGCCAAATCGTGTTCAATCGTGTGGTCATCAATTCCTTGCTCAGCTGTGTAGTGAAAGCTCCTGTGGGTCATGTTGGTTCTTTGAGGTTCCTTGTGGCGTTTGACCATGGCATGGTTCTCTTGCCTAATTTCCAGGTTGAGGAACAACCTTGCCCACCTCAGCTCAAGGGGTGGTCCGCGCACACAGCGCCCAAACTTAGCAAACTTTTGGTTCAGAATCCAATGGTCATAACATGTCAGAAGTCTTTGGACAAAGGCCTTTACTACAATCCCAACGAAACCATGGAACCGAACCACCTCTTTGAATGACCAACAGGAAATGGTTCGGCTCAGTCATGGAACGTGATGATTTGATTCCACTGGAATCAAGCATTCTGGAGGGTGCCCCAACAACGTTCCCCGTTGCTCCAACGGCGGTGGCAGGGTAGAACATTGACTTCAAAGGGAAACGAGGCCAAATCTGCACCTTTTGGTTGACGTAAGTAGCAGTAGCAACCCTCATAGAACAGGTGCGTTTGCTTCCCCTTGAAGTGGCTAACGGAAAAATGCGGAAACCTCCATTTGCTTAAGCCCCCTGGACAAAAATGAGCAACTATGTTCAATAGTGATAGACTCCCTTCAAAACCGACAGCGGAAAATAACGCATATTCATTTTCAGTCGATGGAAGGAAAGGACACCCATCTCGAACTGATCACGGCAAAGATGCTGCCGTGGCCATCATCTTTGGCTCCCGTGAGCAATCAACAGGAGGACACCACATGAACCAAATAAACAAATGAATATATATATATATATTACAACTCCAAATAGAAAACAAAAAGGATAAAAATAAAAAACAAAAAACAACAACGCAGTGTCTCTCCAGAAGGACCCCCCAAAGATCCCTTGAGACGCACTGCTCGCGCCATGGCACCGAGTAGCCCACGAGGCCTGGATCCAGATCCTCCATGGCGGAGCTCGGGCGGGGAGCGCGCGCCCGGGGATGCAGCGCCCGGCCAGTCGAAGAGGGTGTCGATCGGTCGGTTTCGTTTGGTTTCGCCAAAAGGAAAACCGAGGCCTTCAATTTTTTGCTCATTGCGTTTTGCTTCTTTTTCTTTGAGGGTGGGGGTCCGATTTTTGTAGGAAAAGGAAAAGAAAAGGACACCAATAGGAAAACCAACACTTTTTTGTTTTTTTTCTCTGGGGGGTCCCCTTGTTTGGGGGAAAGCCACCTAACTAAGGTCTCAGTCACCAGCTGAATGCAGCAAACCATATTTGAACCCCTGGTTGATAAAACCACGAGTTCACCAACCCGAATCAGGGAAGCGCCTGTTCAGAATGAGAACACATAATTTGATCAACCCCAAATACAACGCCGTACCAAGCGAGGGTGGGCAGGGTCAGGCTTAAAACAAAGTGCAACGTTGGTTTCAGTGGCAAGATCATTCGTGGGTGCCATCTGCAAAAGGACATACATTCCCATTTCTGGGTTCCTTTTTCTGGATGTCCCAGCATGTGGTTGCATTTATTAGAGTGTTCATCATGGGTAAGCTTGTTTCCTCCAGGTAGTCTTGTTATATGCCCAGGTTGAGCTATGAAAATGGCCAGCGGAAGCCATGCACGGGCAGGGCAACACACCAAAGCAAAGTGGTCATGGTGCCTGTTTGCCCGTCCAGAATGCCAACTTCGGAGAAACCCAAAATGAGGACCAGACTTGTCAGGGCTAGGAAACCAGCATTACAAATGGGCGCGCAATTGCCTGAAATGATTCTTGAAAGGAAGGCCGGATCGTCAACCGCTGAATTGAAAGATGCTCCTCATACCAAGCCACTTCCCAAAATGGGGCCCCATTGTTAGAGGGGCTGCTTTTTCGCGTTGCCTTTTGAACTCATTCAGAAACTGGAAGAAGTCGCTGAAGATCTAGACTTTCTCGCTTTCCTTTGGAGTGATTCGGAGACATACGTGTCTTTTAAACAGCTTGGCCCTTCTTGGGGCACTCCCCCCCCTTCCTGTGGGACTCAATGCCAATTTTGAAGGAGGGTTTGTATGCTGGAGACATTCATTACGGTGCAAGATCGTCATGTGGGTCTGTAAAATTTGACTTGCCCAATCACCTGAAGTGGGTCAAAGGTCACATCGACAAACAACTTATGACTGTCTTTTTATGGGACCCTTGCCAGACACCATCTTTGCATGGGTGATATATGGGTATGGGTCAATTTAAACCACCAGGGGACCGCAGGTTTTGGTCCACGTTTCCATTTACTAGGATTCCATTTTGGGTACATATTTTTGGACCCACAGCCATATGACCACTTCTGCAAACCAGCTGTGTCTTAAAACAAAGCCCTACACGAGTTCAGACTTTCTCTTCTTAGTATCTCCCAAGAAGACAACTGCGAGCGCACGCGGCTGCGGCTTAATGACTTCGCCGTCAACCGGTTCAAAAGCAAAAAGTCGTGAGCACATTGTTTGGTTCCAGCCACCGCTGAATACATGTTCAAATCTTTGAAGCATTTGAACAAGTCCGAAAACAGGGAACTACACAAGCGCCTGCATCCAGGATCCGAAGCAACAAACACAACAAAAGCACGCGCTCACTTTGGGATTGATTAACTAACCGACGCTTTTCGGGGGCTTCGACAAAACTGGACTAGAAAGCCCAGTGCTTCTCTTCGTCACCACCACGGGTAGAAAAGGGAACCATCTAAAAGCTGCAAGAAGAATCCTTGGTTTCCTCCGTGTGGTCCAGTTGCTGGGACTCCCTCCCAGGAGACGCAAGATTGACCCAGCCTTAAGACCTTTCCACGAGGTTTGGTTCGTAAAACCGCCCAGGGAATATGACGACGCCCTGTTGCCCGCAAATATACCCCCAGTCCAAACAGCGGCACGCGGATCATTTTTCGACCTCTCTGACCTGGCGGGTCGGTCGATCGGTAAACCCAAAAGGAGAGGGGAACGGTGGACGGCCCCTTGCCGAGTGGTCGATTCTCACACCGCGCATACTGTATTTCTCACTTAGGGGATTCTCCCACTCACAGAGAGTGGCCAACATCTCACGCAGGAGCATTGCTGCATATGGGAAGAGGATGTCTACTGAGCAATCTCCCAAGGCCGGATTTCAATGGTGTTCAGCATGAGTCGGCTCGGGTCATTTTTGAATTCTCATCTGTTGACTTCATCTCCCCCAGTTTTCTTCTTCTTTTTTCTTTTTTGCGGGGGATTCACGCCTGCCGGAAACGAGGCTTCCTCCAGCGCAAGTCCAAAACTGAGGAAATCCCAAAATTACATAGCTAATGTGATGTCAAACACCAACAACTCCGGTTCCCCCAAAAACACAGAGTACTTTGGCCTTTGGCAGGTTGACTCAAAGTAGTCAGACCGAGTCAAATCAAACATGCAACATGGATCTTGGCCATTCCCCAGTTTCCAGAATCGGATTTCCTTGGCCACCCTTCTTCATTGTTGTGGCTGTTCAAATTCCAAGGGTGTGGTGACCCCAACTCTTCCGGGCTCCAGCACCAGAAAGCCGAATTCTGATTCAGAGGTTCAGTACTATCTGCTTCCTTTCACAATGAATGCTGCCCCAATCCGAAGAATTCCCCCAGCTTCAATAAGGCACCTCCGAGCAAAAAGCCGTTCCTCACCTGAAAAACAAAGGTTGACTCGTTGGGGCCATGGCTAAGAGTACTCTGCAAATGGAACACGCAAATGTCATCTTTGAACATTGTCCTTCAAACAAGTGGAAGTGGACACCCCCAAAACAGGTGGTGTCCCTTTGGCTGCCCATTGCTCACAAACCACCAGGCAGCCTCAAGAAAACAACAAAACGTAATCCAGAACTGGAAATCCACAGGTCAACAGGTCGGCCAGCTGGGTTGGTCATACTTGTGCCTTAGACCAAGATGGCTCTCACTGCACGAGCCTCTCGTGTTTCCATCAACTGCCGCGGTTCTAAATCTAACCGCAAAACAAGGCCATGGATCTGAACATCCTCCAACCTGGTTGGACATGACTCCCCAGTTAATGATGTCCACCAAAGCGTCCATGAAACATCATGCCCACAAAATAGAAGATCAACGTTTTGAACGCTCGAACGGGGCCTGGCTCTGTTTTCCACACCATGCCGGCCCTCTCCTTTCAGTGCTCCGTACATTCCCTCTTCAACATCACCAAACGAAGTCTCACCAAGTACATGTGTCTTTTCTTAGGGGACCCCCCAAAAAATGGTCTTCCTTTTGGTTTCCCGAACACCACAAAAAAGGGCTATCCTCGAAAAAAAGACACACCCAAAGAGGCCGTTCCTCAAACGATGATGCTTTTCCAGCCATAGGGACATGACCCCCTACAGTGCCATCGATGCCAGCGGACACCCGACTCGGCCTTTCAGTTCTTTGCGAAGGAGCGATCGCCTCAGTTGGCAGTCGGCAGGGTCCTGTAAAAACAAGACCCACACGGCCCAGTTTTTTAAGGAGCAACCTGAATGGTTGATGACACATATGGCTGTGGGTCAAAACCAATGGTACCCCTGGTGAACATCAAAATAGGTGGTACATGGGTGCTCATCCGCCCCAAAATGGAGCCATAGGTTATGACCTATGGCCATATCAGAGGCCCTTTGCAAAGGGCGCCCTGTACTCATGGTCACGTCTTCATTCTTGGGCCATGGTTGAAAGGGTACCCTCGCGACCAACCGAGAACGGGTGCTTGAAAAAAAAGAGCTTGATCTGAGTATTTGTCTTTGCATGACCTTCTCAACATGGCCTAGGACAGTCAACATATTGCAAAAACTGCAACGGCCGCTTTGGACTGACGTCAGGCCTGTGCTGCTTGTTTGTCGGTCCCGCAAACAAACGCAAGGCATTGGTGCGCCGTGAACTCGTCACATTAGCAAACACACTACCCTCACAAGTAAGACGGGGTTCCCTACATTTCAATCCAGAGAAGATCACATACAACCAAAGGAGACTTACTGCATTGAGAAATATAAGGAATTCCGTTTTTGAGATGGAAGCTGACAACAGGCTCGTCTACGAAGGGCAACTCCCTTCTTGGACGTTTCCTCAGACTCCCTGTTAGATGGGAAGGGAATTAACCTGTCAGTTGAAGCTGGGGAATCTAGAACGTAAATGGATAGGACATTCCCACGCACAGCACAAGCAACCAAAGATGACATTCATCGTTTACTTTTCAAGTCCCCGGTGTGAAAATCGTCTAGTGTCCCAATTCTTTGCAGGTATCCTTCCATCACCAACCATCTGGGGAATCAACCGTTTGTTTCTTAACGAAGGCTTTTGCTTTCCCCCATGATTGTGGATAACAACTTTTCTACGATGTCAGAGTGCGCCATCCGCATGACTACTTGCCTCTAGGGGATTCCAGTGCCACTCACAGACAATTCCCACAAACCATATGCCGCAACAATTGCTGAAACAATCTCCTTTTGCTTTGGACTCCTTTCTATAAAGGGGACCAAACTCAAGTTTAAGCAAACCATTGCCCCAACCCAGCGTTTCACCGGAGGCTGGTCTCAACAAAAGCCTTCCTCTGAGCGCTTGGGCTGATGTTGTCCGTTACGGCGCTCACCACGCGGCCCTTCTTCCGCACCTGGCCGGGGGGTTGTTGTGTTCTCCGTTTGGCGTCCCTGAGTCAGAAACGACATCTTTGAATACTCGGTTGCTTTCTGCTCCCCTGCAAAAAAGTGTTTAACTTTTGGTGGTTTAATGGAAAACCCTTTAGTTGTTGGCACCAAGCAACGTGCACCTCTGAATAGGTATCCGAGATCAATCAGGTGCCTGCTCCTTTGGTGGAGTGCTTTGTCGGCGCCCGTCAGCGCCCATTTCTTCCCCACAAAGTGGGACACCATGCTGGGGCTGTTTTCCTCGCATGCGAACATGCGGCTGGTCAGGTCGGACTGGCATCAAATCAGGATTCTGTCGATTCTACCACGTTGGTTGGCATCCCCTTGCCATTCTTTTGGGCGAACAGCAGGAACTCCCCCTTGGCATTCTGAGTAACAATCAGCTAGCCTTCTCAAC